AGTCCAAGGCAATAGCACATACACTGGAACAAACCTGATTTACTGGAAAGAGAGGCAGGGTACACAAATGTAATAATCTAACAATAATTGGCTTCTTAACAGTCTTCTGTATTGCGAAAATATTTGAAGTCTCAATTAAATACTAGAATTCTATCAGCTTGCTAGAAACTGGGACATCTCAGTGTCGATGAGGACGTGTTGGTGTAACCTTCCCGGTTGTTAACACAGCTTCACTCAGACCAATGATTCTTCGTCAGAAAAGCCAGCGAAGACCTGTGCACGCCGACGCTTCCCGTTCCAGAGGTTGTACTTGGGTAAAGTCTGTAACTAGAAAGGCGTTCTGTGGACTGCAGTGAATTTTAGGTTCAGTAAGACATAGTTACTGCTGTCTAAGAACTCATAAGACCTAATCAACATCTCTGGATAGTAACTGCAAACAAAGAAAATCTATCCAGGGATTTAAGCAAAATATTTTTCCATTTTCTTCAATACTTTGCATGAAGCAAACTGTTGTAGGTGAAATCTTCTCTAGTTAATCTTTTATAAAGGCAGTGGTTCAAACCACAATCCCTCTGGTCTAGCATATAAGAGAAAGTGTTGATTGTCAACAACACATCCATTAGCGTATGAAAGAAACTGATAATGCAAACTAAACATAAGATGCACCTGCTCCCTCTGAAAGGCATTTTGGGAAATATTACATTTCTTTTTTAGACAAGCCAATATTTATTTCAACACTATACAAGTGAGTATCATTGGGAATACTTCAGTAAGGAGCATGAAATTAGGTACTAGATATATAGTGGGTCTTGAATGTTTAGATTTGCAGTTTAAGAAATGAAATTACAGAACAAAGAGAAATATACGGGGAAGAGGTCAGCTCCACCCTCTTGGTTCCATGCTCTTCCAATTCCACAGTGCCTAACTTTATCAATTAATATACAAATAAGCCCCAGTACTTCTCAACAACAGAACTTCTCAGTTGTGTCTCAGATCGCTAGCCTATTTTTTCCTAGGAAACATTTCTAACTTTTTTTCTGTACCCCCACATCCCCTGCCCCAGTCTGTTCACCTGAGGACCACGTGTGGTCTCCGCTTCACCAAATCTAGTGGATACATTTTCCAATCTTTATCTTATGCAGCCTCTTTGGGATTTGATTTTTTGAAGCACCGGTTACTTGCTTTATTCTGAAATTCTACCCTCTATGGCCTGCTGGGGCTCTGAATTCCAGCTTTACACTTTGTGGCTGCAATGTGCTTGTCTTATTGGCGGGCAGCCTCTTCCTGTGCTTGGGTCTGAAGGTTCCTCCCAGTGTGAGTTCTCTGAGTTGAGTAATTTCACGGCTCTGGCCCTCATTGATTTGCTAACATATACATCACCTATAGAGCTTCTGACCTTCTTGTACAGCTGTACTTCTGAACTATTTTCAGTCTTATAATGCTCAGAATTGAGAGTCTCCTACTGCTAGATTTCATTTTATAAAATAATCTTTTATTTTTGACCCTTGTAAGTCTTACACAAAACAATAGTTCGTACAATGGTGAAACATAGAGTTTTAGAAGACAACGCAATGCCCAGTTCCTTTTATGGTGCTTGAAAAACTGGATAAAACTAGACCTAAGCCAGTTGAACACAATATGAAGAACAAACGTACCCTCATTACAACTGTAAAATCACGTTACTGACAATTTAAGTTTAGCAAATGTGTGATTTTTCTTCAGGGATGCAGTGATAAAAGCCATAACTGTGTGGTACACAGATGGTCAGCAGTCACTTGATAAAATTCAAAGTTAAATTTCAAGTTCAGACTTGGCAATCAAGCAGGTCTGATTTAGAATAACAAATCAGTTATTGTTCCATTGGACAGATACATTAACCTTCTTTGGACCTTTACTATCAATGGTTCTAGATCACCTTAAGTCCCTGGCTAAGCACATCATTCCTTCCTTTTCATTACATTTTCATTCTTTACTTGTTTCACATCTTTTTCAGTCATGCATGTTGGTAACATAGACGAATAGGTTTCATTTTGGCAGATTCACAACTACCCTCCCAGGGGGCCGGGGATTTAGCTCAGCAGCACAGCACCTGCCTGGCAAGCGCAAGGTCGTGAGTTCGATTCCCGGTACCGGAACCCCCCCCCAACAAAACAAAAAACCAACTACCGTCCCTATTCCATCCTCCACCCTAGTTTCACATTTAAGGTGGGAGTTTCAACACTATAATATTTCCTGACCATACTATCCCCCTTTAACTATTTATTTGAGGTTTTCTTTTTTCTTTTCACTGGTACATATTTGCAGTACATAGTGACTATACTGATTGTGGGGAGTTGGGGAATGCACCTAATGCATCTTCACTCTTTTTTTCATCCCTTTGCTCTCCCTCCTCCCCTCCCCCACTCTTGGTCCCAGTCCCTTTTGCAGAAATTATGCACCTACCCATTTGTTTTCCCTACCTGAAATCACCTTAAAGATGCACATTACTATCTGTAATGTGTAACTTATCGCGTGCGTGCACAGCAGTAGCAGAATTTGAGAGGTCCAGTTCAGAGGGAAAGAAGACCCTTGTCTAAAAATACTTAAGAATTCCAAGGCAGTCAGAGGTCCTGTGGACTGGGGTCCCCAGAGCCGCTCGGAAGCTGTAAACCAGG